TGGATTATAACCAATTATGGCTAACACTGAGAAGAATGGGAATCCCAGAACATTTACTTATGTTCACATTGTCTATACCTAGACAGACAAAGAAGCGATTGTCTGAGTGGAACAAGGGAACACTGCATGGTTTAAAAACAGGAAGGGTCTGCATCAGGATTGTATCCTTTCTCCATTCCCATTCAATCTGTACACTGAGCAACCATTAGAGAAGCTGGATTATAAGAAGAATGCGGGGATCAGGATCAGAGAAAGACTCGTCAACAACTTGCCTTACACAGATGATACAACGTTGGTTGTTGAAAGAGAAGAAGACTTGAAACACTTGCTACAGACGATCAAAGACCTTAATATAGATTTCATCTCAACATTAAGTAGACAAAAATTTTGATCACTGGGTCAATAAATGACATCATGCTTGATGTAGAAAAGATTGTTGAAGTTGACAATTATTTCATCTTACTTGGAACTATAATCAACACCCTTGATACCAGCAGTCAGGAGATCAGGAGATGTATTGCACTGGACAAGTCTGCTATTGAGGAAGTCTGCAAATTACTGAAAAGCAGTTACATCAGTTTTAAGACTAAGGTACCTCTGATCCAGGCTATAGTTTTTTTTTTCAATCTTACTTGTTATGCAACTAAAAGTGGGATAATGAATAAGGATGACAGAAGAGGTGATACATTAGAGTTGTAGTGTTGGAGAAGTGTACTGAATATCCTACGGACTTCCAAAAGAACAAGCAGGTGTGTCTCGGAAAAAGGGCAACCAGAGTACTTCTTGGAGGCAAGGATAACAAAGCTTAGTCTCACACACTTTGGGTATGTTTCTAGGAGAAACTGTTCTTTGGTGAGAGACATCATCCTTAAAAAGGTGGAGGAGAAAAAAAATAAAAAAAAATTTAAACCCCCCCACACACACACACAAAAAGGTGGAGGAGTCAGAAAGAGAAGAAAACCTTCGATGAGATGGATTGCCATAGTGACCGCAGCAATGGCCTCAAGTGTGTCAGAAATGATGAAGATGGCACAGTATAGGACAGGGTTCAGGTCTGTTGTTCATAGGTTCAGTATGAGTTATACTCAATTCTACATTACCTAAAAAAAACAAAAACATCAACAACATATTTATTGGGCTCTGGTGGTAGAGTGTGGTGTCAGAAACCTTAAAAATTGAGTTTTCTATCAATTGTGTTAGCCCCTATTGGGGGCATGGTCTCAAGCTACCTTAACTTTGAACACACAGTCTTTCAATCATCAACAGCTGTGCACCGAGTAAAAGCACTTTCACACTGTGAAAAATAGTAATGGAGAGAGGTGAAGAGACTGTGGCACTGCTGTGAAGAGACTGTGACAAGGTCTAACCAGGAGAATCCTGGAGATAGAGCCACACTTAAAAGTTTTACTTGCTGGAGGATTAAAGAAAAAGTGACTTGTAACTGCTCTGAGATAAAGTCTGCTAGATGACTGAGGAAACTAGAGGCTTCTTGGATTTGTGCTGCTGATCTGAACCTGAACTTTCACTAACTGAACACCTGTGCCTTATTAATCTGGTTTGGGACTGCTGGACTAAACCTGTAGTTGCATTGTTTGATATTTTTTGCTTCCCCTCACGCCCAAATCTATTTCTCTAATAAACCCCACAACTGTGAGTCAAATTGCAACAAACATTGGACTCAATAATTCATAGAAATAGGTGCAGGAGCATGTAGGGTGGCATGTCTGACCATGTAACTATTTGGTGCTATGGATGTTATTGATAGGAACAGCTCCCCTTTATGAAGTGGGTAGAGTCACAGTCAGCCTCCCTCACATTGTATCTGCTCCTTTTATACATAGTTTGTAGGGAGTGGTACTGCTGATCCAAAGGCAGTGCTTCCCTGGAGGTTCAAAGCTACCAGCAGGACAAAGATGAGCAATCACCTCTCATGTGATTTACAGTCCAAAAATCTGCTGGAGGGTCAGCATTAGCTATATTTTTCTCTGAGTCTATAGCAATTGAGAGTTACTATTATACACTTTCTTAGCAATGTATTACTGCTACAACAGTGATATCATAAGTGAATGGATTTACAACACTTATTCTCCCACAATTTAGATAGTTCAAGTCCAAATTCACGGTGCTGGCTCCAGGGGCCATCTGTGTGTCTCCTGGTTCTAGCAGTTTCCCAGTGGTCCAAAAACTACACTGCCAGAAATTCTTAGTGGAACTGAAGTTCCTCCTTTTTTCACACTTGCTTTCCCTTTTCTCTCTAGGGAGATAAAAGGTATTACAAATCACAACTCAGGGAAACTCCTCTTACCTCAGAGCTAAATGGGATTAAGGGTGTTGCATCCTATCCTTTTATCCTCTTATAACTGTGTGGTTCATCAGAGCCTAGGGGAGGATTTTTTAACTTTTACATTGCATCACGGCATATGGTATTTTGGGAGGACATAGTTCAATCAATGAGATATACTTACCACACAGTGGTTATCTTCTCCATGAGTGAATTGGTAGAATGCATTTCCTAAGCACTTACTCAGTGTGGGTATGTAGTTCAATCTTTCCTCACTGCTGGAATCTTAATCTCAAACAACAGCTTCAAGCCCCTCAGTCTGGTCTTCCAACTCCAGCTGCCATTTCCCTGATCCCTTCAATTTGTACTTTTGCTTTCTGACCTTCCCAAGGAACTACAAGGCTTCATGATATGATAATATCAATTTCTCCAGTTCCCTGGCACTGTTATATCTCCAGTCCTTAAATCTCTGATGTAACAATAAGCAATGTCTCTCCTGTTGATTCAGGTTACGGTTTATACTATATGAGGTGTTTTTTCTTTTTTAAGAACAAGCACTGTGGTGTTTTTAAGACTTATGAATATGAGCAAAGGTCTATTATGTGATAAGAAGTAATAGAGGTCATTATTATAAAGGTTTGACAATAGTTAAAATAAAAAATTCTGATTATTAGCTATGCATCCAAGACCTGGACAATGAATAAGGATAACAGAAAAAGAATTGATGCCTTTTAGCTGTGGTGTTGGAAAAGAGCACTGAACATGGATGGCCAAGAGAATGAATAAATATGTCTTGGAGAGTATGCAGGCGGAGTGCCCTTTGGAGGCAAGAATGATATGCCTCACAAACTTTGGCCATATTGATAGGAGGTTCTATTACTTGGAGAGCGACAAAACGTTGGGAAGTTTGGAGGGTCAGTGTAGGAGAGGAAGACCCTCAACCAGGTGAATTGACATGGTGACTGATGCAATGGGCTCTTGTGTGTCAGGAAGTGTGAGGATGGCACAGGACAGAACTAGGTTCAGATCTTCTGTGAATAAGGTTGCTATGAGTCATATACAATTCAATGGCACCTAACAACAACAACATCATTATATATCCCAAATAGTAAAAGCAGTGATACCCATCACGTGGTTTTTTCAGGCCTTTTGTGTTTATACACACACACACACACACACACACACATAATCTCCCCTATATTTAAAATTTGGTTGGGCTCAAGGGTCTAATGTTATTTCAGTTTGGAGGAAGATTCTTCTAAGTTGTACAGTACTCTTCTGTCAATTAGCTGTAGTGAGGTAATCTGGGTTTACTGTGAAGCTGAACCTTGTGCCACTGGAGGAGTCAAATGCCATAATGGCTGCCCGTGGTGGACAGTGTTTGGTGGAACTTCAAGTTTAAGACAGGTTTGGAAGCAGGAGTGGCATCCACTTCCTAAACCACATGCTTCTGGAAACTCTATGAACCTGGAGAAATGACAACAGTTATAGAAAGGCTTCAGGCCTTTTGTTCATAGCGTGGCTATGACTAATGCGTGACTCAACGGCAATCAACAACAACAACAACAGCATCTACCAATGAGAATAAAGGTATGAATTTAAATTAGAAGTGACAGCATTAACTGTTCTACTCAGTTATGTCCAACTGGCTGTGTTAACTAGTGTCAAGATGATATTATAGCAAGTAGAAGAAAGCCAGATGGTTCAGAGGGCATATGATTGTAACTCTAAATTGACTTCTGCATCTCTTTACGGCCACCGGCCTTCAAAAGCCATGTTATAGATGGTGGGCGAGTGGTGCTATATATTGAAAGACAAAAACTGTGTAACCAATTCAAGTTGATACTACAACCCAAAACCTTTATTAGTGCTTCTGTTTTTTCTGCACCTTTAAGTAATTTCTCAAGAAATAGCTCAACTTCAACAAGCATTTTTCAAAAAGAGCACCCTTTTTTTGAATGATAGTGTCTAGTACAATAATCCTGCTTCTAATCACTGCTTTGAAATGTCCATGAAACAAAAATGACAATAAAAAAAGTGCTTTAAAACCAAATTTGAAAAACTGTTGTTGTTGTTATTGTTGTTATGTGCCGTCGAGTTGTTTGCGACTCATAGCGACCCTATGTACAACAGCCCTAAACCCTGCTCTATCCTGTGCCAATCGCACTGCCTCTGACACACCCATCCCGATTACCCCAGTCACTGAATCAATCCACCTCATAGAGGGTCTTTCCTCCTGCGCTGTCCTTCTACCGTACCAAGCATGATGTCCCTCTCCAAGGACCTGTCTCTCCCTACAACATGTCCAAAGTATGTCAGACGAAGCCCCAGAATCCTTGTCTCCAAGGAGTAGCCTGGTTTAACCCTCTCTAGGTTGAATCTGTTTGTTTTCCTGGCAGTCCATGGTACATTCAATACTCTTCTCCAGCACCACAGCTCAAAGGCATCAATTCTCCTTCTGTCCTCCCTAGTCATTGTCCAACTATCTACTCAGATAGAAACTTCACACATTGTTCTGGTAAAATTTAAAGGGGAAAAAATGGACTGAAAAACATGTATACCATTTACTCATAGGTCACTCATATCTCCTTGTTAGTATCTATTTTTACAGTGTAAATCATTAATTGTTTCCTTTTTCTTAATAAAGGGGTCAAAATGGTCTAAAGTAAAAAGTGAGCATACATTATAATGAGTTCTTCGAGAGCAAACAGATAGTTACCTCAATCTGTGCAGTGTGGTTTGCGTAATGCTTTAAGGCTTCATCTCCTTCATCTGGATCTGATCCTGGTTTGAGCATCTGCTGCAGCAGTTTATTATGACGGGCCAACTAGAGGGAAGAGAGGAAGGTGTTAAGAGGGATTTCCATTTCCTGGGCTCATACTTTGAAATTACTTTTTTCTACTTGGAGTTATATATGTATATATATATGAATCGTCTATGACTCGATGGTACTTAAAACAACACCACCAACATAGAGAGAGCTCTGTGGGCCTGGTGGACAGAAAGTGATGCTACTAAGTCAAAGATGGGTGATTTTAATCTGTGGACCTCAGGCCTGATTTTAATTGTATTTGGTAAAAAATTCTTCTAAGTGGTATAGTACTGGTCTGTCCATTTGCTGTATAGAGGTAATTCATGGTTGCTGTGATGCTGAACACTGTGACACTGATGCATCAAATGCAATAATGGTTACCCATGGAGCTCCCTGCTTAAGACAAGCTTGAAAGCAGGAGTAGCATCCACTTCTGAAAAGATGGGTAATCTCCACATGTGTGGTTTACTGTCTCTGAAAATCTGCTGGAGGGTCAGCTGTGATCTGGTCCCAACACAATGGTACAAAACAAGTGTTTATGATGTTATAAATACAAAGTATGATTCTTAAGAAGGAAAATAAATGTTAAACAATAATATAGAACCTATTTACAGTCACTCCTTGGGCTGCAATGTAAATGAGTTCTACTAAATATAGAATTTAAAAGCAAGTGGGAACAAGTGTATGTGTTTATAAGTGTATATAGGGTTATAATTTAGCCTTACTTTAATGGAAGAAGGAGTTTGGTGGTACAGTTGGTTATGTGTTGGAATGGTAACAAAAATGTAAAAAAAAAATTAAAAATGAGTCCAGCAACTTGAATATGCAAACTGCAAATAAAGCAGTTGGCTCTGACTGAGATTTAACTGGATGGAGGGTTGCCAAAAGTCAGAACTAACTCAAGAGCAAGGGATTGGGTTAGTGTAAGAAAAGGCTCAAACCTTTTTCTTATTTAAAAGCTGCTTAAACAAGTGAAGGTGAGGTGATGAAGAATAGGCTGGAAGTAGGGGCTGGTTCAGCCATTTTAACAGTGAACTTTATAAAGGGCAAGCATAAGTTATACACAGGTCAGAAGTCCATAAGCCAGGGATTTATTATAATCAAATGAATGGTACCACTTAAAACGATAATTTGGTAAAATGACAATACCACTGATAACTGCTCTATAGAAAATAATTTTGAAACTATTATTTCTAAATTTACTTTCAATATCTAATGTATATTACCCGTGAAAACAACTGATGATTTTCTGTTTGCAATTTGTTTACTGTCAATTATACTTATTTACATGTTATTTTTAGTTATACTTTTATTATAAACCATGGTTATTAAACTAGAAATCTAAATGAGTTTCAAAAGATTAAATCTTTTATATATA